CTCCAGCGTCAGACTCGGGGCTAACTGTGCTGTGACAGACGCCTTGAACTTGGAAATGAAGACGTTATGGATCCAGAAATCCTGCCATCAAAAGCACCCACAGTCCCAGCACTCAATTCCACGCTTTAGAGAGAAACGGTCTATTAAAAGCCAGCCATGAGGGGGTCTGCGTGGGGCGAGAAGTATTAGCAATGCTGCTTCTAGCAAACGCGTTCTCCCTCCAAAAAAAGTTTTACACATTATTTGAATTGGCCTTTGGTGTCCTTGGGGAGCGGTGCTACTTCCTCAGTACAGGGGGAACATTACCTAATAAATGAAACAGAGGAGAGAAATCGGAGCTGAAGGGATTTCCATCCGCCAGCCCCTCTAGGGACGCCTCCCCCAGGCTGCCGCCCTGTGTCTGGGGCAGACCGCACAGCCCTGGACAGAAACACGGGCTCGGGCCCGCCCGGATGGCCCAGGCCTTAAGAGCCTAATGGAATTTTCATAAAGTCAAACCTCACCCTAAAGGGGTAAAAACACCCATTCAAACAATTTTAATTGTTCAAAAAAAAAAAAGCGCCTTCATCTGCCAAGCGAGGGCTTGTAAATCAATGCCGATCACTTGAAAATAGATTTCTCAAACTTATATTCTCATTTTGTCCTGCTCGAATCTCTGCAGGAAAATCAATATTACAACTTCACACTTAAGACATTTTGCAGCAACGTCAGCGGCCGCGGCGGCGGGTGGAAGCGGGAGCTCGCGCGGCGGCGCGAGGCGCTCATGCCACGGGCAGCGAGCTCCCCCTAGCTGCCGAGCGGCGCCAGGCCAGGCTGGCGGTGCAGGCGACCAGCCTCCCAGAGCCAATCCAACTCAAAGTTTATTTTGGAAAGTATTTTATCACAACAAGCAAGAGAGAATGCAAAGCGATCGAGCAGGGAGATGAAAAGGAAAAAGGAAAGGCTGGTGCGAGTCGTGTGCGAAGTGAAAGGACAGTGCCAAGAGCCCGCTTCCCAGAAGGCGGAGGACGCGCTTGCTCTACAGGGAAAACGCTCGCTGGCTCTCTGCGAACCCCCTGACTTGCACGCTTGCACCTCACCTGAGGCCTCATCCTAGTCCCGGTCCAGTGCAGGGCGGCCTTCCCTCCCGTCAGCAAGCCCCAGAGGGCCGGGTGCTGGTGGGGAGCACCGCCTCATACCCCAGCCTCTGACCCGGCCTCTGTCTGCATTAGGCCGCTTTCACCGAAGCAACTGCCTGCACTGGAGCGCTTGAGAAATGGCTCGTCCTCTGTTACGAAATATTCTGAAGGCCAGGCGAAAATCACCAAGGCTGCTGCCCGGGCGGATAGCAACTTCCACCCTCAAACAGAAATAGGCACATGTGTGCATAATATGCAGGGAGGGCCAGGATACCCTTTTAAAAAATATTAGGGGTTGTTAAAATACGCTCCCGGCTGTTTTTCTCTCAGGTGTGAATTACAAATGAATAAAATCAGCCTGGCATAACACCTTTGATGAACACATTTTTATTCTCCTGTGGAATCAGAGCAGCTGACTTAGATCACACTTCTAATGGTATGGGGTTCCCTTCTGTGCAAAGGGGAGCAAAATCCACCACCCCCACCAACCACCCAAAAAGGGGGGGGGCACGTCTTATGAAATTTATCTTTCCAGTTTGGAAAAATATGTGAACAACTGGAAATAAGCTACACCCTGAGAGTTCCGATTATTGTGAGCACAGCCGCCTTGAAAACATACAGCAGCAACAAGACCCACGCACAGGGTAAGCCGGCAGGAACAGCTCTCACTTCCGCGTGAAAGCTGGAGTCCCTGCTTGTTCTGCAAAATCAGAAATCCAGACAGATGACCGCCGACCTTCCAAGGAAACCTGTTGATGAGTGGTTGAGAAACCACCTCACTGGGACCGTGTCACTGACCACGGACATCTGATTTCCTTCTGGAAGTCTCAGAACTCCCTGCAGCAGCGAGCACGTCCCTCTGCTCGGAACTAGCCCGCTAGCTAGGCGCCTGGCCCTTCCTGCTGCCTGGCCAGTCCTCTCCAGTATTGTCCCGGTGTTGCTTTGTTTTGCACTAATCGCCCTGTCTGTCCTCGGGTTTGAAAAGCCACATCCATCTGGGTCAAACATTTTGAGACAAACCAGAAGCCCAGGTTTTCATCCCCAGCTGCCTCTCACATCTTGTATACCTCACCCCTCCTCGGGCTGGCCCTGTCCATAAATTTAACTAGCTCATCATGGCGCCCTTCTCCCTCTGCCCCCCAAGATTCTCCAGGTTGTCTGTGGCTCCCAGACCATCAGTTATCCTAAGCTGCATCATCCCGACAGAACCTGAGGCCGCCGCGCCCCAAGCCGGCCGGCTGAAGATGCTCGGGTGTGGGGTGATTCCTTTCACATTTAAAACCTAAAACGTGAACTTGGGTGGCAGCTGTGACAGCACCCAGCCGGCTCTGCAGAGCACCCCGAACCCACCACCCTGTGTCGTTGTGGAAGGCACAGCCACAGGCCAGCAGCCAGACCCCCATCCAGTGCGGCCTCGCCTGCACTCCACCTCCAGGGTGACAGGACAGGCAGCAAGGCCAGCTGCTTTTTGATAATAAATCGCCTGGTCTGAAAACTGGTCAGACCGCTCTCCCTGCAGAGCATAAAGGCAAGGACTGCCCCGGGTGTGCGCCCCCAGAAGGCCGGCTGGATAGCCTCTGCCCCTCAGTCTCCTCGGCTGTTCCCCCCTTCTCTCCTGCCTCTCCCGATCGCGCCCTGCCACCGCTCAGTGTCACCAGCTTCCCCAGCCCTGCTGTGCGCGACAGCGAAATGGAACAGATGAAGGAGGGAAGGACACTGCTCCGGGCACCCCTGGCCCCTGGCCCCTCGCCCCTCGCCCAGCTGCCACCAGCGCTTCGGGCCAGGCTTCTCCTGCCGTCCCAGGAATGCCAGAAGAGGAGAGAGCAAAAGAAACAGCAAACCTACCTGCCTCTCCCCCTCACACAACTGCAAACACTCCTGCCTCCTTCTGCTGCTGCCAGCTTGGCAAGGCACCCCGACAGCTCCCCCTTCTCCCATCCCCCCAACTTCCCCCTCCTCAAAAACAACCTTTGCAAATTTGTGCACAGGCAATGGGGGGCAAATTGTCTCCCGGAGAAGTGAGATGTCCGCCAGTGTGGACGTTCTAACAGCCACTGCACCGTGGGAAGTGGGGGCGCAGACAGTGGGACCAGCAGCGGCTGCAGCTCGCTCGCTCGGGGCGAATGTCAAGGGCTGAAGAGGACCTTGGTCACACCAGGCTCAAATCTGGCTGCCGAACATTCTGTTTTAAAGGCAACCAGTGAGTCGTCTTTGATGTTACAATGGGGGGGGGGGGCAAAGAGAAGTACTCTTACCTCCCTCCAAAAAAGACAATCCTCCCCAAGGTGAACCCCACTTTAATATCTCCTTCCTTCCCCCCAAATACTAATAAACCCACAAATTCTTACTAACGTGTCTGCGTAACAAAGGCGAGATGGCAGCGGCAGAGGCTCCGAGCAGATGGCTTCCGCGCTCGGTTTTCAGGGGAGGGGAGAGCCCCTTGATATATTTATTTATTTATTTAAATTTTGTAAAATATAACATAAAT